TATATATATAACATAAAGTATCGTATGATTTTCAAAATTTTAAAAAAATTGTAGACTACTTAGACATTAAAAACTTTCAATTCAATAGTTATATTATTAAAATTTGATGTAGAATATGAGTTATTAAGTTGAGCAAGTGGATCGCTCCCATGATAAAATATTTAAAATAGAATTTTACTATTTTTTTAAAACCATGTTATTAATACAGATAGAGTATGAGGAACTTGGTTAGCCACCTTTAATGAATGATCTTGCTTAAGAGAACAAAATTCGACACCACTTAGACTAATGATTTGTTAGTCAAATTTGCTGTTTTAACTATCTTATGCAACTTTTTTTTTTTTTTTTTAAGAAAATGAAAATACAACACAAATGTGCAACTAGCATTTTACATGTGTAAGGCATTTGATAATTAATTATTTTATATGATTAAGATTTATAATAAATAAATATTTTTATTATATATACCGTGTCATTGTTAAATTTGTTATAAATAAATAATTTTGAACATATAAATTATACTAGTATTTTAGCTTTTGTATTTCACAAACTAAATATTTATTATATATAAATAAATTTATAATAAATTGTATTTACAACTAAAATTATATTTGAATATATAAATTGTATTTAAAATTTGTATAAGTAGATATTTAAACATATAAATTATATTTTAGATTTAAGATAAATAATTTATATTGTAACACAAGATTATTTTTAATTATTTATTATTTATTTTAAAATATTAAAGTTAATTCATAAATAAATATGATAAATAAAAAAATTGAATTAAATAAGAATTTCAAAGAATACCTACAAACACTCTTGTCAAAGAATAATCTCTAAAAATACTTTTATGTAAAACGGTCATTTTTCTTTAATATATAGAAGTTGATTTACTTCATAAATAAATATGAAAAATAAAAAATTAAATTAGATAAAAATTTAAATTTTTTTTAAAAATAATTTTGTCAAAAAATAACTCTTAAAAATATTTTTATGCAAGATATTCATTCATATTTAATATGTAGGAGTTGATAAATAAAAAAAATAAATTAAATAAAAAATTAAAAGAATTTATAAAAATATTCTCGTCAAATAACCCCTTAAAATATTTTTGCGCAATAGTTATTTGTCTTTTATATATAGAAGTTGAAAGTTAATTTAATTCATATGATAAATGAAAAAAATTGAATTAAATAAAAGGTTCATAAAAATATTCCTATTAATAAAATAACTCATAAAAATAATCATTCGTATTTAATTTACAGAAATTAATTTCAAACTTATAATACATAATTTATATTTTGATACAATTCTTTTTTACTATTGTTAATCTTTTTCAAGAAAAATATTGAAACAAATATTATAATGATACATTCAAATAGATAGAGGTTAAAACAATAGTAAATTAAATATAAAAAATGATATAGAAGGGTAATATTTGAATTTTAAAAATAAAAATATATTTTAATATTTGATTACTGCTTGCTAACAAATAGATATTTATTTAATATAAAAAATATAAGAGACATTGTCCCGTGTATATTTGTCATGTGTATATTAGGACTATGAAGTTCACCTCTTCATGAAAGAAGAGTATTTAAATAATAATGAATTTGAGAGAGTAAGAACCGAGAAGAGTGAAATATTTTCAGAGTAGAAAATTATTTTGATTTATGTAGAGAGTAATTATTTGCAAAAGTAAAAAATGAAACTAAATAATATTTACTCAAATTAGGCCTTTAAATTAAAAAAAAAAAAAACTTGTAATATCTCTATTTTTTTTAATGTATTTTTTTAATTTAGGCTCTAGATTAAATATTTGTTTATAATCTTTATATATTTCTTATATTCTCATATATGGATAAAAATATTAAATTATTATTCCATGTCATCATTTATCATTTATGTGAACCGAGTTTTAATTCCTAACATGAAATCTTTTTTAATCTTTCTTATCATAAGAATTATGGATTAGTAATAAATTCTAATGAGTAGAAATTAAATTCGAATATTACAATAACATGATATAATAATCTAATATAATTATTAAGATATAAAAATATAAAGAACATTATCTTAAGTTGTATGAATTGTAAATGAGTTTTTATTTTGAGACTAAATTGCAAAAATATAAAAAGATGAATAATTTAATTATATTTTTAATTAATTAATTATTTTTAAGAATCATATAAAAATGATGTATTAAACTTTTAAATAATAAGAAAATAAAAGTTAATATCACTTTATTGTATTAATCTAGACATAGAAAAAAGAAGTAAAATGGAGATGGAGAATGAGATCATGCATTTGGTGTATTAAGGTACCTGCCAGGTGGGCTATGAATGGCAAAAGACAACTTGAAGATGTCCCCTTGTCTCTTATCTTTTCCTCATACAATCTTAATTTCTTCTTCACGTGTCTCAGGAATGACATCCTCTTTCAACCACTCTCAGACGGTTTTCTTGACCCCTTTTTGCTTCCCTACGAGCTAGTGCCATTTGGTGCTCGAAACAGCTACTGCCTCCCTTCTTTTATCTTCTTCCTTGTTCTTTTCTCTCAGGGATTGTGCCTCTTCCATAGCCAACAAAAGTACAAAGGCCATCAACATCATTAATAAAAGATACAAGACAATACAACCTTTTTCATTCATTTCCATACCCCTACAAAATTTGGGAAACTAGTCTTCTTTCTTTTGCATGTAAAAATGTAATATTATTTCCAACTTTTTGACATACAACTTTGACCACATTACTAAGACACATACAAAAAAAAAAAAAAAGGAATATCAACTATCCATCTTATAATAATATATCCTGAGTCGAACAAATGTAAAAGACAAAAAAACAGTATTCAGCTCAACTTAAATTAATTTGAGCCCAGTTGACAGGGGAAAAAAATTAAATTAATCTAAAAAATGAAAGGAAAAAAGGAATATGTGAACTATAAACTATAACTAGTTCAATTCCCCGAGAAATTGGAATTGTTGGTTTTATTTGTTGTTGCTCGGTTTAATATTGCCATTGCTGTTGTTGGTCGATGTGGAGCCATTATTATTATTATTAGTACTTGTGTTGTTGTTTGGCTGTGCACCCCCAATAATGGAAGTGATGGCTGCTGCCAAAGCTGCAGTGAAGTTGGGGTCAGCTGCAATGGCAGCAGTGGCAGCACTAACTGTGTCTGCAAGGTGTGGTGGTGGTCGTTGAGATTGATTACTCAATTGGGAAGTGTCTGCAATATCTTGAGACATTTGGAGGCCAGAAAACTTGGATTGGTTATACAGTGCCTGACCAAATATCTGAGGCAGCAATGAGGCTGGTGAATTGGCAAAGTTCTGAGGCACACCGGGGAAGGGGATTTGGAATTGGCTTGGGGGCTTTGGGAACTGTAATGGGTTTGGGGACTGAGTCAAGTCCAATGTAACAGTGGGAAATGGAGCTGATGCTGAGATAGTGGCCATGCTAGATGAGCAAGGAAGGAGTGTTCTTGTGAGGAAGTTTGCATTCATTAGGCCATCAGCACTTGACATTGACCCTGAGAGAAGCATTCTTGCAGCTGAGGAAGTGGTTTGTGCCATTGCCATAGCCGCTGGAGGCAAAGGGTGGTTGTGATTCCCTTCATATGTTGTGATTAGTATTGCTCGGTCTTCAGCACACCTTTGCACCTGATTACACATATGTTTAGTTACAAATATCAAGCAATGCAAACCACTTGCCAACTTTGTCCTAATATTGTTTAAGTGTTGAAAAATGAAAAATGAGCCCTAATTCAATTTTATTGCTTAGTTATAACTTATCACTCTTGTTAAATTTCTCTCAAACTTATCATAATGTTTAGTACAAGAACTTGAGAAGTGCAAATTTTATCCTTTTCTCGAAGGCAATTTTGTTTCGGACATTATCGGTTACAAAATGTGAACACCTCTCTCAATAAAGATTTAAACCTTACTTTAGCAAGCTGTGAGAGACTAGTTCCTTCTAACTTTGGTTGAGATGTGTGTTGTGAGACAATCAAAGTTTCACGTTATTTCAACAAAAGAACGAATATGAGTTTATATTCTCACACAATCTCAAAAGCTTATTTGACAGATAACTAAAAGTAAATTTATAAAAACTTATACTTAAAATAGATAATATCTTACTATTGTAAAAATACATATATGTGTGACTATCCAGCTCAACACAACTTAATTAGCAAGAAATAAGGTTGAGAATGGGCATGACATACCTGTTTTCTCACTGGGCAACCTGCTGCCATGGTACATCTATAGTATGCACGAGGACATGGGTTTCCTTTGGCCATTTTCTGCCCATACTTTCGCCATTGACACCCATCAGTGATCTGAAACAAAAAACAATTTTGTCAAGTAAAAAGAATAAATGAAAGATAGCATAAAAAAATAATTAGGCCTTGGCAAATTGAAAAAACTTACCATGGGTGCCTCTGATCGAGCTCTCACAGAAACTCTAGCCTTCCTCATGGTGGCCTCAGCTTGATCAGCATTTCTTGGAGGACTGAACTTTGGAACATTGTTATTAGCAGGCACCCCTTGATCTGAGGGACTATCCTCTCTCTCAATACCCCTACTAAGTTCCTTCTTGTCTTCAAACACTGGTCCTTCATCACTAGCACTCCCATTCTTCCTACAAGTGCCAAATTCTTTGGATGCCACCTCCATATTATTTGTTGGTGACTTTGACCGATCCTGACTTCTTCCCACGGACGAAGAAAGCGAAGGTTCAGCAGTATCAGC